CCGGTGGTGTGGGCCTGGTGGAAGAGAGTGTAGAAGTAGGGCAGGATGGAATAGCGGATCTTCATGGCGGCCTTGGCGGCTTGGGTGACAGAGGCCCAGCGGTAGGGCTCCTGGGGGATAGCCGCAAGGACATTGTGGTTGCGATAGAAGGGGAAGAAGGCCGACAGCTGCATCCACCGGCTGCAGAGCTCCTCATCAGTGTTACCGTTGAAACCGCAGGTATCCACGCCGAACATGGGAATACCAAACAGCGAGAACGACAGACCCTGCGCGATGGACAGGAACATGGAGCCCCATTTGGAGTTGTTATCACCGCCCCAGTGACCGGCCCACTTGCCCGAGCCAGCAAAGGTAGACCGACCAATGATGAAGGGTCGCTTCTCAGTGAAGACCTGGCTTAGTCCGTAGTAGGTGGCATTGAGGATCTGGTGACCCCACAGACTATGAACATCGTATTCCTGGACACCGTCGACATGAGTCGAGTTGGGAGAAATGGCGTGAACGGCAAGGTCATGACCGTCCTGAACATGATTAATCACATAAGGAGGGTAATTCACATCACGGACGCCCGGCGTCGGCGTCGTCCGCAGATACGATGTAGAAGTTGACGTAGTGCCGGTCTGGGTAGCAGCAGCAGCCGAAGCCTGACTGGCAGAGGCGGCGGAGGCAGAGGCAGCTTCGGTAGAGTTCGTCACGTTGAAGGCCTCGGGGTACTTGTAGCCGATATTGCCAGGTTCACCGGGAAGCTGAAATGGTGGGTGAACCGGGTTCAGATGTAGCTTACCTGTTCCACAGCTGCCAACGCAGAAAGAGGACACTTCGCTCATATCAATCCAGATGCCATCAAACGCAATCTTCTTCCACCAGGTGACGAGTTCGTTGGCCCAGTAGTCAAATGCCTTAGGGTTGTGCCAATCGGGGAAGACAGTAAAGCCCGGCCACACTGCACCGATGTAGAGGCTTCCATCGGGGTTCTTGATGAAAACGTCATCCTTTGCCCCTCGAGCATAAGGCTCGTACCTGGAAGCCAAATTTTCGTGAGAACTTGACCATCTAACAAAGAGGATAGAATAACAAGAACTTACGCATCCGATGCATTGTCGGGGTTGGGAATATAGATTGCCGAGTCAACGATAGGAACGTAGTGTCGTCCCGAGCTGTGCAGTTTGTTCAGAAATTCCTCGCCTTCATCGTATGAGAACCGTTCGGGATCATTTTCAAAGTCACGGTAGCCAAGCATGTAATCGATGTCGCTCCTGGAAGGGATGTAAGTAAAAGAAACTGGGAAAAACGTATAGGCTCAGAAACCAGACTGACCAGATGTATTCCAGGGGAATCTCAAATCGCTCAAAGTTGTTGACCACTTCTTCGAGCTGAGACCAATTCCGGTAGCCCCAGCGGCATTGGTGATATCCAAGGGCGCTGTACTGCTGCATTGCAGGCAGTCCAATAGTAGAGAGCTGGTAGCTCTTTGTGACGGCCGCTTGCGTGGGACCGGAGTAGAAAGTCAAATCGATGCTACCACCGATTGTGCGCCAAGTGATGTTGCGGGGTTGCAGGAGAACTTCCTGACCATGAGAGTTTCTCAGAAAGACACCGTGGGAGAATGATTCATAGTCCTCCGACATGTCTACCTCGTCAGTGTTGACAAGCAAGTAGGACCCATTCGCGCCTTTGGTATAGTATCTGGTGTCCAGATAGAACGAATGCTGTCCATAGATGTTCCTGGAGAGCTGATTGTGAGCTTGTGGACTTTGTTCATTGAGTTTAAAAAATGGTCAGCAACATACCTATCAATCGGGTCTCCCACATCCGCTGCATAGGTGGTTAGGGTCGCGTTCCTCAAAAGCCGCAGCTGGGCCATGCGCTCTCCCAAACCGTACAGGTTGTAACCCTCGGGCAAAGAAGAGACGAACTCGATAAACTGGTTCTCAAAGACCAAGATCGAGCCCTCGGTATCGACGAGGACGTCTCCAGTAGCCTTGCGAATCACCTTGAGGTTGAAAGAAGGCTCATTGGACCACTTCACTTCAAAGTCACTTTGAGAGGCGGACACGCCGGAGCCTTGAGCCCGGGGCACCAAGTCTTCCGAGAGGAGGTACCAAGAAGCGTTGGAGGCATCCACGTAGGTAGGAACAATTTGGATATTCAGGCGGTCCTTGGCCAGATAATCCACCGTTAGTGACAACGAATCGACGTCTGTCCCGTACACGTTGCAAGGGTCGCCCGCGAGCTGCAGGCTGGCGGTGAAACCTCGGGATGTCTGCTGCAGGTTTGAGGCTTTGTAGCCCGGACAGACAGACTGCGCGTCGACGGCAAGAGGATCGTCGATGTTGGCGATCAATTGAGCACCAATGTCAACAGAAGATGGTAAGGTGTATTGCGCGTATGCTGAGGTTGCGGACGTGCTAGGGGCAAGCGAATGGCTTGCGCCATAGGCCATGGGGAGGAGCCAAGCACTGGCGACGAGGCCCAGGAGGCTGGCCATGGTGAAAGTCTCAGGAAAACACGACCAAACCGTGCTGTTGCCGACAGAAAGAAAATTGAACGCCATTCCAGCGAGAGATCGTCACCTTTATATCATTTCCAGGTACGGAGCAGATACGTTGCAGAGCGAATTTCCTGTCTTTGTGACGGAACCCCACTTACATTACTGCTATGCGTGGTATGCTGGCCTGACAGTTGAGACTCGAAGAGAAAATCATCCTGGGACACTGATGAATTCCTCCGTCAAATGCCCGAGCAGAGCTCCGCAAAGAACATCCCAGAACTGGAAGCTGGGACGAGAAAAAAAGCTTCCATCTCGCAGGATTATTAGGAATCGGGCTTCCTATTCTGGCTGTTGTTGCTTTTCCGCTCTAGGCTCGTGCGGGGGCGCAAGGTCATTGGAGTATTGGACTGGGGGGAAAGCTTATGCACTGAGAGGGGGAAGAAAGGGGACGGGAGGGGAGGGAAAAGCATTCCTCCGAGCCCGGGGTTCGCGCCGGCTGTGGAAACGGCGATGTTACCGTGTATATTACAGCTGATAATACACGAAAATTACATGTCGGACCGACAAGAGCACCATGTCACCCACAGCGGCCGGAGCCAGGGAAGATGTTCGAAGTTAGCTCTTACTCGGCAGCCTTTGCCACGCTCTAAACCTTAGTCAAATGATGTAGTAGACGTATTGAATAGTAACCAAACAAACACAAATTGCCTCAAGCTTTACCCTCTGGGATCAGGCTGCAGGTGAGGAAAAGGACTATCCGCTCATTGATCATCTGATACCAAGGCCTTGATTGGTCCTGAGCCCGATAAATTCCCGAGGAAGTGGAAAATATCTGGATAATGTTGGTTAAGGTTACATGCGAATCATTGATAATATATCCTAGTTGGATCTCTCGGTGAGGGCCGTGAGAGTGGCATTGTCTGATCTCATCCGTATAAAATCAATGGGATATTAATGAATTCACTTCAGTTAACTCTCCTTGTGGGTCGATCGTGGTTAAGCCCATCTGTACCGACCTTTGACCGCAGATGTTCTCATATCTTGACTATGGGAGCAACCAAGAAGCTCGAGCTGGAGGAACCATCTCATGATCCTACCTTATAACCGGCAGGTCATCAGCTCGTCATTCGATGCTTGTCCTCGGCTTCCCGAAACCATTTTTGAGATGGATGTCAGTACGCCTCCCCTCGGCAAAGTGGAACAAAGCAAACAAACGGCAGTTGAATGGACTCTCATTCGTTCTGTGGGCTGTGGGCTTGGTCTTAGTTTAACTAGTGCCTAACAAGGCGCTATTATATGCTGGTTCACTCGTCCATATCAACTCGAGCTTATGGCGGCTAGGATACCTACGAATATCCATTCTTAGATCCACTAGGTGCACCTAAACCAGGATGCATCATCATCACATATTATGATACGACTCTTATACTTTGATGCCTATCTGCTACTTGAAGGGTCATTGTACAAAATAACGCATCCATAACACCATGTCTAATAGGTTGGTTCGCAGACCATGCTGGCGTCAGCCCTTTTTAATCAACCCCTCTTATTCGGTTTACTACACGTTCCATATCCCTACTCTATGACAATGCCCATGATTGAAACTTTGTGCTAGGTGGCGAGATCCGGGGGTGATGTAAAGTACAACCTGTGGGGATGAAGCATAGGAAATTCCACTATCCAGCTAGACTATCTTCCAACTATCCCCTCCTTAGATATGCTGAATCGATGCCACACCTCGTGTAGGAGTTAGTGGGTTTCAAGAGCCGTTTAGACAAAACTCTTTCCCCTCCTTCGTATGCTGCTGCGATTCTGTTCCATGAAGGTTCTAGTGAAAGTCTTAGTGGATGACGAGGATAACGCGGGGTCCTACCTAATAGAGGCACCCAGCCCCTAGGCTTAATAATATAATAATAATATAGTTGTCACCAAGAATACCATGGGTTACAGTATACATGTACCATCTTGACCTGATCTAGCCTAAATAGGTACCCTAGTAAACAAATTTGGTGTATTGGCCATAGTCAAGGGATACAAGTTTACAATACAACCATACGCCCATTACAAACTTCTGTGCCCTGATCTCGGCCGTGTTTAGTACCTGCAGTACAGCTGCATAGAACTGTGAATAGTAGGTAGTATCGAGTCCAGTCTATCATCGGTTTCAAAAAGTGCTCTAAACAGGGCTTCGTTTTGCTCCTTGCAGCTCCCCGCTGCTTCCCCAGGTTTTTCTTTGACCTTTTCATAATTTACTTCCCTTCCTTGAACTTATTTCCTCTTTGACCTCGACATTTGTTTTGTTGACTTTCATATCGTGGTGGTCATGGTTCTATCTATGACTGAATTCTACATGTGACTGCCATAGTCTTATGAGAAGCAATCTACAATGACCACAAGACGTTGAGATTTTCTGGTCATGCAAGGTCGTGTCCATAATATCTTCTTCCTGACTTTACATACTATATCCTTCACTTTTCCGTGAGAAATTCGCTTGTGTCCGTATTTGGCAATGGACTCCCCCAGTGATACCCCCGCGAAATCTGAACAGAAACCGTGCAAGCAAGCCTGCGACAACTGTAGGCGTCGGAAGATCAAGTGCTCGAGAGAGCTTCCATGCGACAAGTGCTCCCGGCTCCTCCTTTCCTGCTCCTACAGCGACGTTCTGCGCCGTAAAGGCCCCAAGTTCCGGACTCTCTATCCTCTGGCGCCTGTCCATCCGCTAATTTCACGACCTCGGGATACCTTGCATTATGGCCCTCGACAGCACACTCTGGACAAGGAGTTCCTTCCAGAGGCCGGAAGTTACCCCATAGGAGCCTCTCCCACGTCTCCTCCGTTTACCGTGGTGGATTCCCAGTTCAACTCCCAGGAGTTCCTGGACTCATTTACACGGCTCGGGCCTCCGGAACTGGTCTCTTCCCCCGACTCGACGAACTCCATGTCTGACTCTGGGACCGGTCAATGCTCTCCTTTTTCAAGACGTCTCTCGTCACCTGTTCTGCTGGCACATGTGAACGTCTACTTCAAATACCTTTTCCCCATCATGCCAGTGGTACGGAAGGAGGAAATACAGGCGGACTGCCACCAGCTGGAAAGACTCTCTTCACGGAGGTATGCTTTTCTGGCTTCGTTGTGTGCCGCGACTCACATACAGCTCAAGTTTGACGGTGCCATGGACCCCTCCGCCTTCAACACTGAGGGACAGTACATGATGTCAGGGGAAGAGTTGCTCGCAGAGGCGGTACGGGCAAGGAAGAAGTGTGATCCAGTGGACGAAGTCAGCATCGAGAGTCTTTTGACTTCATTCTTCCTGTTTGCTTGTTATGGCAATCTCGACAAACAGGAGCAAGCGTGGTTCTACCTGTGCCAAGCTACATCCATGATTTTCACTCTAGGCCTGCATCGGGAGGCGACCTACTCAGAATTTGGACCTGAAGAAGCAGAAGAAAAAAGGCGTGTCTTCTGGCTGCTCTTCATCACAGAGAGGTGAGTTTATCTGCATCTGACGGTAAATTGCTGCTTGAAAGCCGAATTTGACCCTTTGAGTGACCCAGGGGGTACGCATTGCAGCAATTGAAACCGGTCATGTTACGCAACTCCATCCATAAACCACAAGTTCTCCGCTCGGACGATCCCATTCTGACTTACGGCTTCATCAACCTAATCAACATATTCGAGAAACTGACTCCCAACCTGTACGACTGGATCTCCGCCGGTGGCGGGGATGGCTTCTTCGAGATGCCTCCCATATCCTCCATCCAGTCCAGTCTCTCCAAGCCCATGTCGCTAGACGGGGTAGTAGAGATCCAAAGAGTCGACATCCTCGTCACACAGCAGTGGCTGCAGGCGATGATCTGGAAGCTCTCCATGGCGCACGCCTCGCAGCCCGGGTCGCGAGACGACGCCGTCCTTCCCTTCCATCTCCCACTCCTGGTAGGAAAAGCCGTGATGGACGTCATCGGTGCTGCATCCCAGGGATCTGTCGATGCCCACGGAATTGGCATGGTGAGCCTCTCCAATTCCGCCTCCTGGTTTCTTAACACACGACCAACCCACCGGCTGACTTGTCCTTCTTTCCAGGAACAAAAACTCTTCGACATAGCCATGGCCGTCGCAGACGTTACCCGCTCCCTCGGCTCAAAAGCCTCCCACCACCACCCCGCCGAATCCCCCGTTGACCCCCGCAAACTCCTCTGGGGCCTCCTCAGCACCCTCTCCCGCATCCGCGGCTCCCCCTCATACCTCTTCCCCGCCCTCCTCAATCGCTCAAAGAGCATCCTCGGCCTCGACTGCTCCATTAACATGAGCAATTTCCTCCCCCTCATCACCGCACCACCCTCGGGGCCCACGCCCTCCTGGCGCGACCAAGGCCAGAGTCGATGGGACCTGCTTACGGCCGCAGACCCAGAGCCAGAGGAATCGGACCGTGTCCCTGTCCCTGTCCCTGTTCCTGCCTCGGTATCGCACATTCCATCGCCGTTGGCATTTCACGATACCCATCTTCTCCGGGCGGCACGATAATCGACTACGAAGTAGAGAAACGGATGTAGATATGGATATGGATACCCGCGCTGTGGTCTGTATTTTTGGCTTCGATGTATATCCTTACGTTGATTATCTGTACATATGTTTTTTTGTATATGTCTCGGGGATCCAGGGATGGATAATGGGTTGCAAGTGTACGGAGTTAGGCATATTCACTGGCTCCCAGCTGCTATACTCAGCGTACGTTGACTTGAAGATAATCATGGCTGCGTATGTCCCCGCTACTCTTCACCGTAGGCATATGTATAAGCGTTCCTATAGACTCAGGAATCAGTTCTGTAATGCATTTGCGTTCAAGCCTCAATCTCAAGCTAGACATAGTGCTGAAGATGAACCATGAGGACATGGATAAAAGAGAGGCGGCCATGTTTGGACCGTTGAGGTGCTTGATATTTATTGCGGAGGCTGTGCTATTAGAGCACGGGGTGTATAGATATGGCGGTCTGTAGCTGGGTATTTCGGGTTCCTGAAAGCTGATTACATTCGTGGAGTCATACGATATAATTGAGATGAAACCAAACTGGAGCAAGAATGGGTATATTGCAAGCCACCCTAAAGCCACAGGAGATGATTAATATTGGTAACGGTGGGTGCAGCGGTCTCAAAGTCTATGGACAGTAGAAGAATTGTGTACGTGAAAACATGCCAGGCATCAAGGCGTCGTCTAGAATAGCCATCGCATAAGCAAATAGTGAATAAAGAACAATATTTGCACAGTGAGTGTACCAAAGCCATCTCAGGGTGGGAATAAGGTCTACGCTGTCTTCCAGATCAACTCGATGATCTGGTCGCCGTTCTTGGCGTCGCGGTGGACGTACCATTGGCGCACTTGGTTGCCAAAGAACACCGAGTCCTCGAGAATATAGCTGAATTTGCCCATGTCCTTGGGCCTGAGAGGACCGAGCGCATGCATGAACGACTCTTTGTTGCCGACCCACGAGAGCTCCATGGTCTTATCGTCCACGTCGATCTCGGTACTGTATTTGGCGATGGAGAAGCCATTGGTGAGGGTCCAGCCGTCTGAAAACTGCCACTGGCGCAGTAAACACTTATCCCCGCAGAGATTCGTGATGACGCTGAGTTTAGCCATGTCGGCCTGGAACCATGACTTCCAGTGATGCACGGATAGCGGTGGTTCGCGCCCGCACTCGAAGAACCCCGACACGTCGCCTCGCATGTCGAGTTGGTGCAGTCGATAATCCACCGTCAGCTTCGTGTCCGTGTGCTGGTATATGCAGAGTGCGATTCTCCGGTCCCCGGTGTGAGGCATGGCTTGGCAGGCTTCGAAGACGTCGTGGTTGCTCAATTGCTGCACCAGGGGACGAGACAGAAAGACGCCCGCGCCGCCGTATCCCAGCAGGCCGAAAAAGCCAATCTGCGAAACACTCTCCGACACGCCCCCAATGTACATGGGTTTCGTGTGGTCGTATTCGGCAAGCGCATCCACCAAGGCCGCCATGGACAGGAAAAAGGTGTCATCGTCAATTATGCAGGCCCAGCGCGTCCACGGCCGCATGTTCTTCGCCAGATGCGCAACCAGTAAGAAGTATCGAGTCAGATACTCCTCCTCCGACTGTGTCACGAACAGGTTGATCCCCAGGCTATCGGCCTTGGCCTGGACCTCCTCCACTCGTTCATCCGGTTCAATCAAGGCGAAAATACGAGTGCGTGTGTAACCAGCCCAGTGCGTAAAGGCGTCCAACGAGTCGTTCAACCGTTCCAACGTCGTAGCAACGCCAAAGTCAATATGCGAAGCATCCACATTCGCAGGTGACGGAGGCACCTGCACCGTAACTGGGGGTTTAATGTAGCAATCGTCCTGCGATGGCAGACCCAGCTTACGAGCCTCATCGCTCGACGATTGTTGCTGAAGCAAGGGGATATTGAGCCGCTGGCGGATGGGCAGATTCGATTCCGAGGAACGAGCGACGATCATCTCACGCCGTTCATACAGAGAAAGCTTCCGAACCTCCAGGCGGCGGAGAACGTCCAAGTCGGGTTCGCACTTGACGCCCGAGGAGGCGATGGGGATATTTTGTATAACTGTTGGGGGTTCCTCGGGTATATACTCGATGCGGGGCCACAGTTTATAAGTAAAACCAGCGACGAGAAGCAGCGCGACATAGAAGCGCAGCACTCTCCTTTTCCTCATCCATGATGCGCCAATTGCTGGTCTGGGCTTATCCTTGAGTTTCGACAACATTTGAGTTTGTCCTCTGTGTGTGAGTTCCGCTTTCCCTCGCTCAACCCAAGCTCGAACGGACAGCGACGATAGAGACAGAAACCGATTACCGTGTCGACAATAGAATGAGCATGAGCATCTCGTCCGACTGCGAAGAAACTGGATTGGAGTTGGTGGACGTGGACTGAGCAAGGCCAATATAGGAGCCCCTGCGAGGATAGGAAAGAGGAACGGGGAGACTAATCCGATCAGGAGGTCACAGCCGGGTCTAGACCTTAAATCTAGTAGAAAGGGGAAGCAAGAAAGAAAGAAAGAAAGAAAGAGAGGATAGATGGGTAGTCTTTCTTCCCTTCTCTTTTTTCCACTTCAGAATCGAAGGAAACAGGAGAAAGATAAAGAAAAAGAGGGGAAAAAAGGAAAAGGTCCGTCTTCCAGTTTAAGATTCTATCTCCAATGTGCCTGGGCGTCAAGTGTCAACCCCGGGATGGTGGGAATCAACGCCGACTGCCACTTAAACCCGTCATGGAGACGAAAAGAGGCGAATAAGAAGAGGCGAATGGCCAGGGAAAGTGGGCCGGTGGACTGTCCCTTAGGCGGCTTAGTCATCCGCGGTCTGCAAGGCATTACGGCAGTCCACAAGCATCATAGATGCAAATTCCCAAATAAGGAAATATCTGTCTTCCGCACACTGTGGCATGTGGATGATTCGAGCCAGAACCCCGGATTATTCAGTTCGTCCTCAAACACAAAGGCAACCCTGCCATAACGGCGGAATTGCGTCTGGGAGACTTGACCAACAATAACCGAACTCCGCAGCACCCACCTCTCGTGCTGGTATCTTCCAACCGCAGCTCCAATCAAACCCCCCCGCCGCCATGGCTACTCAGTCATTGAGCTCATTGCTGCAACGAGCCTCCATTGACGATCATGAAGAGATGCTCAGTTCCGCCAATGCGGCGCTGGCAAAGTCCAAAGCGGACCTCCATGCCCAACATGCCAAGGCAGTGGCCTTGTTGAAACTTGACCGCTACGAGGACTGCCTGCGTGTGTTTGAAGAAAGCGGGGATGCGTTGAAGAAGGAGGCTGCGCTGGAATACGCATATGCCCTCTACAAGCACGGTCAGCCCGATGAAGCGATCAATGTCGTCTCCGGTCTAGCTCGTGGAAGAGGGGCCAACCATCTGGAAGCTCAAGCTGTAAGTCCTTTCTCTTTTTCATTATTAGCCCCCAAGAACAGCACATGAGGAACCGGACGCGGCTTACAATGAATTCCTCTATCTAGAGCTACCGCGCCGAGAAGTTTCGCCGGACCGCTGAGCTTTATGAGGAATTGGCCAAGGACAAGGCGTCGATGGGTAATGAAGAGAACGACCTGCGGATCAATTCGTGGGCCGCGGATGCGCAATTGCAGTGGAGAGGATACCCCGAGTTCGTACGACATGCTAGACCCACAAGAGAGGATTTGGAAGCGTTCGAGACTGTATACAACGCGGCATGTCTGAGCATCGCCAAGGGAGATTTCGCGCAAGGTGAAATGCTGCTGAAACGGGCCAAAGGTTCGTACCGATCGCATGTCTGTCCGATTGGCGAGCATGGAACTAACAATCTTGCAGAACTCTGTCGAACCTCGGAAGATCTGACCCCAGAGGACAGGGCCGCAGAGCTGCTTCCTATTTCGGTGCAGCAGCTGTACGTCTTACTCCGCCAAGGCAAGTCTGAGGAGGCCGAGTCGGTGCTCCAGGAAATTTCAGTAGATGAGTATGTATAAACCGCTTGGCTCGTTGCACCGCGACTCAAAGCTAACCTCAATACAGTATCCCCGAGCTTTCCACAAAGAAGATTGCCCAACACAACATCACCCTCGTTCAAGACACCGCTGCCAATCCCTATGCTCTGTACAAAGCCTTGCATCAGACACCCGACTCCACCGACAATGATAAGCTCTTTGACTACCAGAATAATGTGATGATGGGGAATTCTCACGCCGCGGACCTTCTCGTACAGAAGTACGACGGCATCATCCGCTCCGCATCCAAAGTACTATCCAAAGCAGCCTGTCCCTCGCTCGACGCCAAGACCAACCTGCTTTCGGTCTACAGTGCAGCGGCACACGCACAAGGCCAAACCGGGCCCAAGGCCCTGAAAGCCATCCTCCCGGTCTTGGAGAGACGGCCCAAGGACATCGGGCTGGTCCTGACTGTGGTTCAGCTCTACGTCAATGCAGGCAATACTACTTCCGCCATCGACACGCTGGAAAAACTGCTGCAGAACCTCGACGAGTCCATTGTCGAGCAGGACAAGGACATCCGCTTCAGCCCCGGCCTCCTTACGGTGCTGGTGTCCCTGTACAAGCTTGAAGGCCGCAAGGGTCAGATTCGGTCAGAGTTAGCCAAGGCAGCGAACCACTGGCGAAACCGCGCCGAAGCCCCCGTGCCCCTTCTCCGCGCTGCAGCGGCGTCGCTACTACACTCCTCTGACCACGCAGACCTAACCCTCTCAGGAGAACTGTTTAAGGATCTGTACCAGAATAACAACGGCGACCAATTCGCAGTCGCCGGCTACGTCGCCTCGCAGGCCACCCTCGACTACTCCAAGGTAGAGTCGCAGCTAGAAAGCCTCCCTGCCGTCGAGGATCTGATCGCAGACGTCGATATTGCAACCCTCGAGCAAGCGGGCATCTCTCCCTCCTCTGCTACAGCCGCAGCCGCGGCTGCCGCGATTGCCGGCGCAAGGAAGAGGACTGCAGCGGAGAGCCAGACCCGCGCGACGAAACGGGTCAGGAAGTCGCGTCTTCCCAAGGATTACGACCCTAACAAGACTCCGGATCCGGAGCGGTGGTTACCGCTCCGCGACCGGTCCACGTATCGGCCCAAGGGGCGGAAGGGCAAGCAACGTGCTGCTGAGAGGATGCAGGGTGGTGTTGTCAACGAGAAGGCGGAGGAGGCGCCAGCTACCACACAGCCCAAGGCTCAAGGTGGTGGCGCCAGTTCAAAGAAGAAGAAGAAGGGAAAGCGGTAGGCGCATGTTGCATTGAGCGTTATGAGAGATGCCTTGCATGGGAGGGATCTAGACTATGGTGAATTGTGGCTTGCGAAGCATGTAGATGACCTTCACCTTCCTAACGGATCTTCAACTTCCTGTATTGATACTCAAGAAGGTACCGAAACATATTCAAGAACTGAAATCAGAATATCCAAGCTCCGCCAGTGCGACATTCTAGGGACACGACTGGCCTGGAACTAAGTCAGCTAAAGTGACCTCGGCAAATCATTCAAGACAATCGATGAATTCAAGCTTTCATGGCCTTCACGCTTCACCACCCAAAAAGGTTCTAGCCAAGGGGAGTTAGAATGGTCCCGCACTGCCGATCATACTGCTCGAACATCATCCGGAACAACTTTAGATCCTGGAGACCATCTACAGCCGTCGTCTTGGCCGGCTTCCCTTCCACAAGAAACGCATACAGCGCCTTCAACTCCTCCCGATAACCATCCTCCCAACTACTCACACTCTCCATCTTCCTGAGCACGCCCTGATCATCCATATCCTCCACCACCACCCGCAACAGCTGGCTCCGCGCATACGGAAGCTCGTAGTAGATGGTCACGGTCTTCGTACGGCCATAGATAGCCAGGTGCGCATCACACCGCGGCACGGAGTCAGTACCTGTCTCGTACACCAGGGTAAACGGGTGTCCGCCCCTCGCCGCAGTATCCGTGTAGTGGAAAATGGCCGAGTAGAACGGATCGTTCACCGAGATCGTGGAGATCGTATCCGGCGCGCCGAGCGTATCCCGCATCAGACCCAGATCATGACACCCCAATGAAGCGAGGAACTGGCACAGCGCGATACGGTCCTGGCTCAGCTCTTGTCCGCTGAACACTTCCTCCAGAAGCACCTGCAGGAGATGCTTGTCGCCGGTTCCCGCTCCGTTGCTGCTGCTGCTGCTGCACATCTTGGGTAGCGTCGGTTTTTGGGGCGTCGTGGCTGAATGCGCTGTGTGCGGGCCTGCGATGTTCCGACACCGAGCGTAGTAGATCCGGTCGAGGCTCGCGACTTCTTTCCTGAACACGTCTTCAAAGCACGGTACGTAGCGGCGCGCGCAGGCGACGAAGACCTTAGCCCCGTTCGGGGCGCGCTGCTCGGCCGCGATGATTCGTTTGGTGCTTCGGATGCTGAGGCTTACAGGGGTTTCGACCATGACGTGTTTGCCTGCCTCGAGGGCGGCGATTGTGTAGGTCTCGTGGTACTCGTTAGGGAGGAAGTTGAGGATGAGATCGACATCGGGATCATGGATGACATCGTCGATTGAAGTGGTGGTTCGCGGAAAGTCAGTATTATTGGCGCTGCTGGCTGTGCTGTGAAGGACTGCGACTGTGAAGTTTTGATCCAGGGCTTGTAGGGCAGGCAAGTAGATGGTCTGGACTACTTCGCTGTCTGCGCCGAGGATTCCTACTCGGAGGGGTGATTGAGTCATCTCCACAAACTGTCGGCTGTATTGGACCGAGCCAAAATAGCCTTCGAGTGTACTTGATTGCTACTTAGGTAGGTAGGAAGCTATCTTGACAGCAGCTGTCCATTGGAAGATAGCGACTCGAGATCATTTCTCCAGAAGAGAAGGGACACGGTTTCGAAAATACGTCTGGAGTAAGGGACTTGTTTATCGAAAGTCTTAGACGGAAGGGTTAAAAGACCACGTAGGAGATGATAAAAGGGAGTGAGTCCCGCATTCCCCCTTCCTTAAACCACCACCGTCAATTGACGGGATCTCGTTATGGGATGACATCAGCCATACCAAGTAACTATATGGAACTGATCAGTAAGCAGCGCATAACTCCCTTAATGCATCAAAACTGTGTAACTTGTGGAGGACCACACAAAAGTGTCTTCGGATATTGTTACCTCATGTGCGAAACCTACTATGCTGTATCAAAACAGTCAGGTTCATATCTCTAAATCAGCTTAAGCAGTGTATGAATGCGCACAAGGTGACGAAAGTCTCGGCGGCATTAAGTGATATCTGCCACAGCAGGTGGAACGACAAGGTTCAAGAGGCAAGGTTTGTACAGCCCAGCACAGCCTTGAGCCTCCGTGGTTCAATGAATTGGTTGAGTTTCGGAGTCAGGGGAGAACCATGGATGATTGAGGGAGGAAATCATCGCATTGGGATGTACTTGATGCGATGTTTTTCAATGTTCTATGCAACTGTAGCCTCGAGATGAGATTGATAGCCTTATCGCGGTGTTTTTGTCGCATTTTGCTAGATGAACTACATTGTCTCCTACGCACCTCTGCAAACTGTTCTCTTGTACATATAGCTTACAAGTACTCAATCTTGCCTCAGCCATATACTAAAATTTGCAGTTTCCTTCTTACCAGGTCAGTTATATTGTGCTAGTTCAGAGATACTAAAGAATAATACTACCCATAAGCGGGTCTCATGACAGGCTAGTTCCAGCTGAAAGTCGTCATCAATTACACTGCTGCTGCTCCAGTCGAGCTTCCATCTTTTAGTTTCATTTGGACTTCATGATCATTCCATCTTTGACATTCTCCCTTCTCACCCTTTCTATTTGTCCCATTGAACTGTGACATTCCTATCCCAGTTTCAAGTGTGCAACACCACAGCAATGGGCGTAAGTATTGCCATCTCTTAAAAAGAATGCCCCGCGTCTTTTGCCCCGCTCCCCCTAAACGGAGTTTGTTTGTCTGAAATGGAGGGTGATGAGAGGTTGTCAGTCGATCAAAACAAGGACAGATATCAGAAGGACAAGGCTGTGTATGACAACGATGATGATGACGATGATGATAATAATGATGATGATGATATATCGACCCTCCGCTCGCTGAAAACTGACGATTTACTTGCTTCTGTATACAGTTTGCCTCCAAAATCGCCAACGCTCAAAACAACGCGCCGAAGATGAGCGGTGCTTATTCAGGAGCTCCGCCCGCTGGCTACACGGGAGGTCCTCCTGCATCGCTGCAGCCTGGTGCTGGTGGATATGTGAGTCCACTTTTTTGCCCCTCGTTTTATGACTTTAGTATCATTAATCATGTATCGGCGTCATCGCCGTTAACTACGGTCGCAACAATGTTGAGTTTGCTAACGCTGATATTCCCTTATCCAGCAGCAACAGCAACAACAGTATCAAGCTTACTCGCCGTCCACTCCTAGCAATCCGGTAAGCGCAATTTCTTGCTTACTGCTTGACGTCTTTTTTTCCCCTCCCTTTTTCTTGATTTCTTTGTCTTTCCTCAAACAAATGCCCGCTGCGCCCTGCAATCTTTCCATCGAATGAAAGTTGCCCTCCCAATTACATTGTCACTCCACATTTGCTCGTCTGCCCCTCCTTCCATCAGAGATTGTCGAACCCCCAATTCCTGGGACTACAAACTTCAACCTTCCCTGCTACTGCTCCGGTGATTGAAGACGACGTCCATCATCATGTCTCGACCTTATTATAACCAACAAGGATATCCTTCTCAGCTTCGACCTGGTTCAGCTCAGCCCCAGTCTCCCTATCCAACATCTACTCCGCCGCCACAACAGCAACAATATCAGCCCTATAACGCACCCTCGGTGCCTCCCAACAAGCCAGCTCCTTCGCCTTCCCCGGCTCCTACATCCCACTCTCCTTATCCTACTGCTCAGTCACCTGCACCTCAGGGATATCCGCAAGCACCGTACAGCCCCCATCCACAGTCACAGGGCTACCCTCAGGGTTCACCCTACGGTACTGGACCTTCATATGGCCAAGGGCAGCCCCAGCAAGGTTATGGACGAACCGCCCCACCTCCACCACAGGCTCAACCCTACGGACAGCCATATTCTCCGCAGCAACAGGCATATGTACATACTGCGTTCCCAAATTGATTGGTTGCCGTGTTTTGCAATTTTTGCGTCACTGTGCGACTCTATTGTTCCTATCATGATTGCTGACTGTGATTGCTTGTTTAGGGACAGCCTTATGCTCCTCAAGGCGCGCCGTACCAAGGCGGACCTGGAGGTCCACCAGGGGGCCCAGGACAGGCTGGATATGGCCACCCTGGCGGCGCTCCTCCCGCCCGTGCCACTGAGCAGCAGATCGGCGCCTACAGACAGCTTTTGATTGGCACCATTCAAGAGAAGAATTTGCAAAGCTTTTACCCTCCTGACAAGCTGGATAGACTTGTCCAGTCGTTGGCCAATGAAGCTCCGGCAAAGGTTGACAGACTTGTCCATGAGTGGTCAGTGCCGCAGGAAGTGGCAATGGACGTCATGAAACTCGCTCTCTTTGATGTTATCCTTTATGTCGATGACAGTGGTTCCATCGAGTTCGAAGAGAAGGGGGTGAGAAAAGAGCAGCTGAGACAGATTCTTGGCATCGTCGCGACCGGTGCGTCGACGTTCGATCAAGATGGCATCTCTGTGCGCTTCATGAACAACAATGAAATTGCCGATGGTATCCGCAGCGTCGATGATGTCAATATGCTCGTCTCACGTGTTCGCTTCGCCGGCTTGACACCATTGGGTACAAGCTTGAGGAACAAGGTTCTTGAACCAATGGTTGTTGCTCCTGCTCGGGCCGGTCGTCTGCAGAAACCTGTCCTGATCATCACCATCACTGATGGTCAGCCTGCTGGTGAGCCACACGATACTGTCGCTAGCGCCATTCGATATGCCAGCGAAGAGGTATCCAGAACCCAGTACGGAAGAGGTGCAGTTTCGTTCCAGTTTTCGCAGGTTGGCACCGACACCAAGGCCCGCGAGTTCCTTGCCAGTCTGGATGAGGATCCCCACATCGGAAGTTTGATCGACTGTACATCCAGTAAGTTGTGTCGCACATGCAACTCGTCCGTAGCACAGAACACCAAGGCTAACGGAATGGCCAGACTTCGAAGTCGAACAGGATGAGATGGCCCGCGCCAACCCTCCAATTCATCTGACTCGCGAGCTCTGGGTAGGTCCTTTCAGGAAGTACTGATCGTAACTGGCTGACCATTTCCAGTGCGCCAAATTGATGCTCGGTGCCATTGATTCCTCGTACGATACCAAGGACGAAAAGGCTGCAGCCCGTCCTGGTGGTCCTGGTGGTCCCGGCGGTCCTCCCCCTCCTGGACCTCCTGGCCAGTACGGAGGTTACAACCCAGGCCAAAACTATGGCCAGCAGCCCGGCTACTATAATCAACCTCCACCCTCTGGATACAATCAGCCAGGACCCTATGGCCAGGGACAAGGCTACAACCAAGCGCCTTACTCCCAAAGCCAGGGTGGACCCCAACAGCCTGGCTATGGACAGGCGTACGGTGGATATGGAGCCCCTCCTCCCTCTGACCCATACGGACGTCCTCCCTCTGGTCCTTCTCCCGGTGGCTATCCCCCGCAGCAGAGACCCTATGGACAGCCTCCACAACCTCCGAGGTACTGATCGCGAAATGCGGACGACACATGACTTCTGTACTTTCAGAGCCGATTGTTGTCGTTGTCTCTTTTTTCTTGCTATGGCAGCATATGTAGAGCCTTGCCACGATATTGCTAATTGATACGGCCCTGAGGAAATTGAGAAAGATGAATGGGCGAGGTTCTTCTGGGAACACTTGGTGGGGTAGGATAGATATGGTGAGGATGTTGTTCCATAGCTTCACGAGACTTGCATTCTTTCAATTATGATAATTTGTGCGAGTTGTTTGACATCCAAGTGAAGGACGCTGCTTCCTCGATCTGCACTATCAGACAAGATATTTGGGATGACTAGCGAATAGAACCTCATTGAGTGCAAGGGGATCGTCGCACCTAAGACCCATTGTCAACCAACATTTACGCGCATGACGTAGGGCCACTAGCGGAGAGGTGCACTACGTGAGCGGCCAGTCACATGATCAGTGACGGCTTCGTACACAAAGTGTCGAACTGTCGACCATGCAAACCATATGGCATCAGAAGACTTTACGGCTTGAGCGAACCTGAGCCTGGCTTTGGCTTCAGACGGAGCGGCCCAAGCCAAGAAAAACCAAGTTTGCCACCACAGTACCAAATACTCCGTACGCAGCACCCACACAAGGCTGCGTAAACTTCTGTCAAGCATGTCCATGGTAGCCCTTACGGACCACTATTCAGTGACCATTGAGATTGATTCCTCAGATGTACCTTACCAACGTACCGATGTTTCGCCCAAAGCATTTCTGTGGTAGGTTCAACGTGTGGCCCAGAATTGGGGTATCCCGCCACACTCAACAGGGTTGCCCAGAAGTACCTGTATCCACACAGGTCTGTTCGAGAACTTATTGGCTTTTCTTTTCTGTCTCATAGGCCAAGGGGGGGCTGTGCATTACTGCATTCACAACTAGGTTGCCTCCGTATGTTGTGAGATGCAAGACTTGTAGTCTACTTGGCCATGGGTATTATCATGTTTTGGGTTTATTTTTTAAAAATAGTGATAATGCTTAGTGGTTGTCAGATGGTACCTAGGTAATGATATGCTGTAGCCTGGAGGTAGACATGTCACTGTTGTGGGATTATTTGAACGAGAGATGGAGGTGGAGGCCGATGTCCTCTGCCAACCTAAGCCTTGAGGCTAATCCTAATTATTCTTAGGTCATTCTACCCACGTTTGCAAATTGGCCTCCGTAAATGAAATAGTAGAGATGACCCACGCCCTCCCAGTTCTGGACTCTGGAGTTTCTCCGCAGAGCGAGCCAAGTCTGCAAGAGACAGGAAATTTAACAAGGAAGGATCTAGATATCTAACGATATAGCTTGTCGCTCATCCCTCTTTGTGTCGTCTTACAATCATTTCTCGAATCAATCTCTCAGATTATTGTAGCATTCCGCGCTGCTTGCATATCTCTAATTCTCGCCTGCCAGCAGCGAACCGTCAAGTCGGCCATCTTTCCGGATTCGGTTCTCCCCCGCCATTTTTCTTCGATCGCGGAGCTTTTATCGCCAGTCTGTTGCAACAAACCGCCTCCTGAGGCGCCGCCTTCGGAAAGGATTCATTCTTTTTTCTCTTCTTTCACTTCTTTCTCTCTGATCTCTATCGTACACTACTGGTTTAGGACGCCTTTTGTTTGTTTATACTTTTTCTTCTCTCTCTTGTACGGGTTTTGCAAGCTGGGTTATTTCCTTCTCTTTTTCTTTCTTTCTCCGATACCCATTGTGTTGGTCTACAGTCTGTCTTCATTGACCTGTTGCAATACCCACCACAGTCTTTTCTGTTTGAAATAAGCCGTTTCTCGCTTTGTCGGCAAATTATCCGGCGATCGCAACAGCAGAGTCTCACGGAATCCGAAGTTTTGCCCCGGGTTGCAGCAAATGTGGTAATCGTGGTAGGACGCCGAGATTGAAGCATGAGCCAGCATCGTCGGTTTTGATTATATCCTTACGACAATACCCATATTTCGCTCGATTCTGATACTCCAGTTGACGGATAAGAGAAGGTGGTAGATTGATGGGCGGATCTTGAGCCAACAAAGTGAGAGATATCGTTGGCGAGCGGCACCCTGCAATGTCCGGACACGATGCATCAAGAGATGAGCCTCGGATTACGGAAAACACGATTCGAGAGGAGGATCAGGCAGTGACCGAGCAGTATCCAGCACACGGCTCCAATATTTCGGCGACTCAATCCCCGAATAACGGGCCTGCGCGAGAAAATGTTGCTCATCCTCGATCTTCCATGTCACCGTCTCGAATGCCGTCGGATCTCGGCCGAAGACCATCTCAGCAGCGAAATGTACGGTTTTCCACAGACCTCGAGCGACCTATCGTGGAGGAATCCAGGAATACTCGACCTGGCTCCAGGGGCCTAACAATTGATACGAGTATCGCAAACACTGCTGTATCTCCGGTGCGTTCCCCTGTCACATCACCAGAGCGCGGGCCGACTTCACCACTATCCCCCAATAGCGCTCTTTCCCCAATGTCTCCGCAGAGTCCAGATGTTGGTCGCTCGCGATCCCGAAATCGCGGATATTCTCTTCGGCGTACAATTTTCGCAAAGAACATTCAGACGCAACCTGATGTAACATCGCCAGGGGCTATTGAATTGGGCCCAGCGGTTGGCTCGCAGCAGCTGCCGGACACATCAACAGCGAATAATCAGCCACCGACGACAGGAGACGAGAAACACTCAGAAGTCGTGCGTCCAACAATCACATCGGAATCTTCCCCTAAGGATGACGGTTCATCGACATACTACTCTAATCCCAAGGACGGCAGGCACCTTTCTATGAGTGTCTCATATGAGAGGTGGTTGAAGCGGAAAGCTGCTTGTACTGTGCTCTTGGTGCGACTAGAGAACGCGATTGAAACTGTGCGCAAGGCCATCCTTCGGATCAAGGAAATTCCTCCGACCAAAGACGGTCGTCATATTGATCTCGATGTGACTCGCACCGAGGACTTGATTGACGAAAGGACTGGTAAGCCATACGTTGGAAACTGGATTCGGTCCAGTCGTTATAGCTTCTGGAGTTTCTTTCCCAGACAATTGTTCGCTCAGTTCACCAAGTTGGCCAACTTCTATTTCTTGATCGTGGCTATCCTGCAGATGATCCCGGGTTTGAGTACCACAGGTACTTTTACCACACTGATCCCTCTTTTGATTTTCGTTGGTATCTCGATGGGCAAAGAAGGGTTTGACGATTGGCGTCGTTATCGCTTGGACAAGGAGGAGAATAATCGTCTTGCATCTGTTCTTTGTCCTGGTACGAATCTCACCGCTGCTGCGGCCATTGGTTCCAACGACACCGTTTCTGTTTCAAGCGATGCGCAGGATTGGGCCCTCATCAAGTGGCAGGACATCAAAGTTGGTGATGTGATCAGGCTGGAGCGTGATCAGCCTGTCCCAGCTGACATTGTCTTGCTTCATGCAAACGGGCCCAACGGTGTAGCTTACATTGAGACTATGGCCCTAGATGGCGAGACCAACCTCAAGAGCAAGCAGCCTTGCCAGCCAGTCGCTAAAGTGTGCGGGACGGTGGAAGACATCTGCAGCAACTCCATCCACTTTGCCGTGGAGGACCCGAACATCGATCTATACAAATTTGATGGCAATGTGATTGTGAACGCGGAGAAGTTGCCACTGACGAATACTGAAGTTGTTTACCGCGGCAGTATTCTTCGAAATACGGGACGTGCCCTTGGTATGGTCATCTACACCGGCGAAGAGTGCAAGATTCGAATGAACGCCAACAAGAACCCTCGGATCAAGTCGCCTTCCCTGCAGGCAAAGGTCAACCGGGTCGTTATGCTGATTGTTTGTCTCGTCATTATCCTGGCGGTTGCTTGTACCGTTGCGTACAAATATTGGTCACAGGATGTTGAGCGCCGCGCTTGGTATCTTGAAGAGGCTAATGTCGCCTACGGCCCCATTTTTACTTCGTTCCTGATCATGTTCAATACCATGATTCCGATCTCGCTTTATGTGAGTATGGAGATCGTCAAAGTCGTTCAGATGCTCTTGCTGAACGACATCGACATGTATGATGAGGAAACCGACACACCCCTTGAAGCGCGAACATCCACGATCAACGAGGAGCTGGGACAGGTCAGCTATATCTTTTCTGACAAGACCGGTACATTAACGAACAACTCGATGCGCTTCCGTATGATGAGCGTGGCGGGGACCGCCTGGTTTCATGACTTCGATCTCCGAGAAGAAGCTGCGAGAGAAGGTGATCGACAGAAGTTGATCCACAAAAAACGGAGCGTCAAAGGCAAGAAGGCCGTGGCTCGTAAGTCCAACGCTTCAGATACTCGAGAAGTGTTAAGACCCTCGAATGTGTCGCACGCTCTGGATGTGTCTGGTTCGATGTCCATGGGCCCTCGAAAGATCGCAAAATCCATGGCCGATCGCCGTACCACCGATATGTTGAGATACATCCAACTCAAGCCCTACACCCTGTTCGCGCGGAAAGCCAAGCTGTTCCTCTTGGCAATAGCGTTGTGCCACACATGCATACCGGAGAAGGACGAGTATGGAAACGTGTCTTTCCAGGCAGCATCCCCTGACGAACTAGCTCTGGTGATGGCTGCGCAGGACCTTGGCTATCTCGTCATTGATCGACAACCAAACACACTGACTATTCGGGCTTACCCCAATGGTCCAGAAGAAGAGCCCCAAGATGAGGTCTATGAAATTCTGGACGTCATTGAGTTCACAAGCACCCGGAAACGCATGTCTGTTGTGGTTCGAATGCCGGACCAACGCATCTGTCTTTTCTGCAAGGGTGCTGATAGCACGTTGATGCGGTTGCTCAAGCGTTCCTCTCTTGCTCATGAAAAAGCAGTTGAGATTGAGTGGCGTGCCAGCAAACGCAAAGCAGCCGAGGCAAATCACGTAATGAGACGAAATAGCGAGCACCAGAGTCGGAAGGATAGTGGGGTCAGATCCAGCTTCAGCCGGCCAAGCTTCAGTCGTCCCAGCTTCGGT